TTCCTTCCTTCCTTCCTTCCTTCCTTCCTTCCTTCCTTCCTTATCACTGGAGGTTTTTAAGAAGCAACTGGACAGCCACTTGTCTGAAATGGTATTGGGTTTCCTGCCTGAGCAGGGGGTTGGACTAGATGACCTCCAAGGTCACTTCCGATTCTGTTTATTCTACGCTCCCTTTCTGATCTGCCACCGTCTCCTTTGCTTACCAAATTTGATGGCTTAGATTTTGGCGGGGGGAGTAAACCCTCATTCGTCTTTAGATTTTAAGTCGTGGGAGTGCAACGTAGGCGGTCCTCGCCTTACACATTTATGTTGCCAGCTGGGGAAATCCGTTTAAGGGGGTTTCGCCCCGTCTTGCGACTTTCCTCACCACGAATCGCTACGGTTTTTAAATCGGTAACTCGGCTGTTAAGTGAGTCCAGCTTCCCCAGGGATTTTGCTTGGCAGAAGGTCTCAAAAATGGGGATCGCGCAACCTTGGGACACCGCAACGGTCGTAAGTACGAACCAGTTGCCAAGCGTCTGATATTTTAATCCCAGGGATGCTCAAACCGTCGGTAAACGTGAAAAACAGCCCCAAGTCCCCTCCTTTTTTCCCCCAGTGCCGTCGTAACTTTGAACGGCCACTAAATGGACTATAGTCAGTCGACTACCTGAAACCATGAACTCTCATAGGAGCAAGGAGAATCAAAATCTAGAGCAGTGTATCTCAACTTTGGCAACATTAAGAGGAGTGGGCTTCAACTCCCAGAATTCCCCAGGCTGGGGGCATTCTGGGAGTTGAAGTCCACCCCTCTTAACGTCACCATGGATATAGGGATAGCCTCATTGGAAAGGGACACCGCGAATTGGCCCCTCGATGGGATGTTTAAGGACATAATTCAGATTTTTTTTCCCCCCGTGCAAAACACGATGTATTAAAGATCCATTTCCTTGTTTCTCTCCCTTCCATCCCTTCTTCTATAGGCACTTTAATGGAGTTGGGCATCTCTCCCATCGTGACCTCCGGACTCATTATGCAGCTCCTGGCTGGAGCCAAAATCATTGAAGTGGGGGACACGCCAAAAGACCGAGCTCTCTTCAACGGCGCTCAGAAGTGTGAGCATTCATTCCGGGCCCTGGATGGAACCACCTTCCCCTTAGCAAATGCAGCAAATGAACTACTTAAGCCTGTGTGGTTGTAGCAAGGGGGAGCCATTGTGGGGTGCTTGGTGCTCCCTGATCTTGGTGGATTTTCTTGCAGATGTTTCATGCCCCAGCTACGTAACATCTTCAGTGTTAGGAGGGAGTGGGATTTGCAGAGCGGAAGAGGAGCAGGAGCAGAAGAATGACTGTGGGGTCCTTGGTGCTCTCTGATTTTGGTGGTTTTCTTGCAGATGTTTCATGGCCCAACTAGATAATATCTCCAGTGCTAGAAGGGTTTCCTCTCTGTTTATCACACCACTCCTTTCTAGCAGTGACGATGTTACCTAGTTGGGCCATGAAACATCTGCACAAAACACTCAAGCTCAGAGATCACTAAGGACCTTTCCCTCCTTCCTCCTCCTCTCCACAAACCCCACTCCCTTCTAGCACTGATGATGCTACCCAGTTGTCAGGATTCCGGCAGTTCCCCCCATTTAAATCCTGAGCCTCGAGCCAAACTTTCAAAACTTAAAAAGGATTTATTGGGAGTTAACATGCCAGCACTGCCTGGGTGTAGCCGACTCTGAGGCACATCATTCATTGTCACCCTTGACCCTGGTTTTCCCCCATCCCTCTGGATGTATTATACTTCATATTCTCCAATGGGACACATCTGTAGCTAAGTATTATCAGTCATGCTCTCCAGTTAGAATTTTGCACGGCAGAAACTTCAGTCACCTAGTTACTATCTTTGAAAACATTTATGGAATGAAGTTTCAATTTCCAAGCTGCCACACTGCTCCCCCCTCCCTTTCTGTTGGCAATTCGTAACACAACCCGAGAAATATTTTGTGAGTTGGCACCAGTCAGGTTATGAAACGTCTGCAAGAAAACCACCAAATTCATTAGAGAGCACCAAGGACCCCACACTCCCATCCTGCGCTACTCTTACTCTCTTCTCCAGGATCATAAACTCTCTTGTTTTCCTCTTCCAGTGTTCGGAATGATTATCACGATTGGCCAGGCCATTGTGTACGTCATGACGGGGATGTACGGGGATGCCTCTGAGATGGGGGCCGGGATCTGCCTTCTGATTATCATCCAGGTAGGTCCATCAATCACACAGGTGGCACGAAATCCACAGTTGGGTATCTTGCCTGAGTCTTCTCCGAAATCCTTAAACACGGTAGCCAGTTTGTAAACTTCAGTATAGCAGAAGGAAAGCGTCGATATTTTGAATTAATTGAATTGGGTTTGCTTCCCCCAGACCCAAATAAATTAATTCTATCCGTCCTTTGTAAGGTATCAATCAGCCAAGAGACCAGTGGCATTAAAAAGAAAAATAAATTCAAAGTAGCCTAACCTTTGGGTTAAAACCTAGAAATATACGCCAGAATTTTGTGATACAGGAATCCTTAAGAGTAGTGTAAAATTGTTCTTTTTTACATTTTACAAGTTATAATGGGCTACTGAAGAGCAAAGGATTAGATCTCCACCAAAAACAAAAGAACAAAAGAAAGGAGAGGTAGTTAAGAAGTTGTTTTGCCAACCTAGAGGAAAATTATTTTCTCAACCCCAGGAAAAACTATTTCCCCAAGGAACTTCTGGAATTAACAAAACTTGGTTTCCATAATCAAAGTTTCCAAGTGTTTAGACTGCTGGGTACCTGGCCTGCTGCTCTGGTCTCAGAAGCCAAGCAAATCAGATGAACCTTTGAATGGAAAATACAGGAAAGGCCGGGAAATTGAAAAATAAATACAATTATGAAAGCGACAGGAGGGCCCTATGGCCATAAGCCAAGAGAGAGGCTCCTCATGGGTCGAATTGAACTTGGCCACATGAATTGCAGGCAGTCCTCGGCTTAGCGCCACAATTGAGCCACCCAATTTCTGTTGAGACATGTGCCAAGTGTGCTTTGCCCCATTTTAGACCTTTCTTGTGAGTAACCCGGTTGTTAAGCGAATCTGGCTTCCCCATTGCTTGTCAGAAAGTCGTAAAAGGGGATCACGTGACCTTGGGGACACAGCAATCCTCCTCCTCCTCCTCCATACAGCCCTCTCCCTTCTAGCACTGATGAGGTTACCTAGTTGGGTCCTGAAACGTCCGCAAGAAAACAACCAAGCTCAGAGAGCACCAAGGACTTCAAACTCTTCCTCCTCCTCCTCCTTTCTTCTAGCACTGATGACATTCCCTGGTTGGGTCATGAAAAGTCTGAAAGAAAAGCACCCAGCTCAGAGAACACTAAGGACCACACAGTCCTCCTCCCTCCTCCTCCTCCTCTCTATGCTGATGATGTTAACTTGTTGGGTCATGAAATGTCTGCAAGAAAACTACCCAGCTCAGAGAGCACCAAGGAGCCCTCTTCCCCCCTCCTCTTCTTCTTCCTCCCCCTCCTCCCTTATAGCACTGATGAGGTTACCTAGTTGGGTCCTGAAATGTCTGCAAGAAACCCAGCTCAGAGAGCACCAAGGACCCCACAATTCAACGCTGAATTGCAAATATATTCCCTTCTGTAACTATTTCACCTTTGTCAGATCTAAAACTCAAAGTTGCATCCTTCGCCCAACATGTGCCTGGTGTTTGTTTGAGCTCCAGTTCTGGGGAAACGGTCGTAGCAATGATCCTAGGCATCTGAATTTTGATCATGTGACCACGGAATGCTACAGAAAGCGTAAGCGTGAAAAACGGTCCTAAGTCCCCTTTTTTCAGGGCCATTTTTAAACTTCAACCAGTCACTAAGTGAAACTGTCGTAAGTCGAGGACTACCTGCGTTCAGTGCAAGTCAAAGATTTGGCTGTTCTCAGTCCTTCGCCTAATTCAGGGCTTCAGTAGCCAACCGCCCCAAAGTTGACAGGGCAAGCAAAGGCCATGGCTGTGGCAGCCTGGAGGGAGAAGGAAGGTGTTTTACTTCTGGGGCAAAGAGTGAGGGGTTTTTTCGGGGGGGGGGGCACAGAGTTATGGACCTTTTTGGAATTCCCCCCCTCCCCCTCCACAGTTGTTTGTTGCTGGCTTGATAGTCCTGCTGCTTGATGAGCTTCTGCAGAAGGGCTACGGCCTGGGATCCGGCATTTCCCTCTTCATTGCCACCAACATCTGTGAGACCATAGTTTGGAAGGCCTTTAGCCCCACCACCATAAACACGGGCAGAGGTACAGTACTTTCTCCTCTCGGCTTGATCGGTTGCATGCTTTGTCGGCCTCTCACGGGGAGCAGCCTAGAACCGGACACGAGAGGTGGCTCTAGATCGGGGGGGAGTGTTCCGAACTGCATTCTAGAGGACCCTACACACTGCATTCGAGGAGACCCTAAAAACTGCATTTAGAGAATCCTACAAACTTACATTCTAGAGGACCCTACAAACTATGTCCTAAAGGACTCTACAAACTGCACATACAGAACCCTACAAACTGTGTTCTAGATGACCCTACAAACTGTGTTCTAGACAACTCCACAAACTGTTCTAGATGACCCTACAAACTGTTCTAGGAGACTCTACAAACTGTTTAGAGAACCTACAATCTGTTCTACATGACCCTACAAGCTATGTTCTAGGGGACTCTATAAACTGAGTTCTAGAGAACCCTACACTTCCAGCAGAACATAAGGGTTCCCTGAGAAGCTAAGGTCAATACCCCCCCCCCCCGCCAAATTCACTGCTGTCATGTCACCCCAGTCCTTCTTTTCATCAAACTAGACATACCCAGTTCCTGTAACCGTTCATCGTATGTTTTTTAGCCTCTTAATCATCTTGGTTGCTCTTCTCTACTCTCTTTGTGATCTGAGATCCTTGTAATCTGAAAGCCCATTTCTCCTTCCCCTTCACTTTTCCTTCCCAGGGAACAAGGAGAAGATCCCTTCAGTGGTGCTTTCCACACCCCGGTTCCTTCAGAGGGCCAAGCTGTCCCTTATCTGCCCACTGGCCTGCGTGCATTTCTTCCTCCTCTCTCTCTCTCTCTCTCTCTCTCTCTCTCTCTCATTACCAAAGACCATTGCACAAGTAATACGTCAGGGGCGTTAGAGTAGGGGGAGGGGTGTTAGAGTAGGGGGTGCCTTTTCATGATGCTGAGGAAGTGGGTGTTCTCACCTAGGCTTCCTGAAATCACAAAGCAGACTCCTTGTCCCGATAAAACCCCCTTTTTATTAGGCTAATGTGAATTCCTATCCTTCACATCCAACAAAGTCCTGGCAAATAGGCTTTCAAGGGTGAATTTACAACCACAGACCTTTATCAGGCTTGGAGAGCTACCAGGCTGATAGCTTCCAAACGCCACTCTGTAGCAGACAATACTTGGCAAGGAGTCATAAACAAATCTTCATACTAATTAAACGAACTAATTGTCTCCTGCAAACCCCACTCCCCTTTTGCTCCTCTTTATTCCCTCTGGGAGGGACCATTCATCGTCCACCTGGGCCTTTACTCCAGAGTCGACCCTTGTTCCTCAGCTGTTCCCTTCTCCTGGCAGCTCTGCGCATGCGCACCCTGGGAACAGGCTCCAGCTGTTCTTCTTCCCCACTGATCTCCGACTCCAAAGGCAGCTGATAACTGTCAGACGTCCCTGGCCCCATCTTTGCCTCTGACATAGAGCCTTCTTCAGAGCCTTTCCCAGACTCCGGGACCGGTCCATGTCCCTCCCCAACCTCTTCACTGTCCGAGTCTGCCGCCAGCTCCACTGGCTGCTGGTGGGCCACAACAATGGGCATCCCCAAAGGAATATTCTGGACACCTGCCTTGATACCCCACTTCGGCTTCTAAGTGCTCTCTCGTCATTTGGAAGAATTTGCATGCATGTTGAGCCTCGTTTCTTCACTAGGAAAAGAGCCTTGGGGTTTGCATGAAATTTTGCTTAGTGAATCTCAAATAAAAGAGTTCCTTTAAGACTTTAGCACAATTCGTTTTAAATTTAACCACGTCCGTTTCACTGAATAATTACAACACCCCGTGGCAGGTAGTCCTCGACTTACGACCACAACGGAGCTCGAAATTGCCGCTGAGCGAGGCCTTGGTTAAAGTGAGCTTTAGCCCCGTTTTTAGAACCTACCTGGGCACCGCTGTTAAGTGAATCACTGCAGCTGTTAAGGTGGTTCAGCGAATCCGGCCTCCGCAATGATTTTGCCGATTCGAAAGATCGCCCAAGGTGATCGCGGGACGCTGCGACCATCATAACTACGAATCAGTTGCCGAGCATCTGAATATCAATCACCTGGCCATCATCAGTGTGAAAAACGGTCCTAAATCCCTTTTTCTGGAGCCGTCGTAACTTCGGGCGGTGACTAAGCCAGCTGTTGTAAGTCGAGGATGGCCTGTAATTCCCCCTTTTGTTGTTGTTCCATTTCTTTCTTGAATGCTGCATGAGTTCCCTTTGGCTGTTTTTTTGCGTTGCTCGTACGCCAGAGTTGGTCACCATGCCTGCGACCTGATTTGGGACGGATTTTTTGTTGGATTCCCTCCAGGTACGGAATTCGAGGGCGCCGTCATTGCCTTGTTCCACCTCTTGGCCACGCGCACTGACAAAGTCCGCGCTCTGCGGGAAGCCTTTTACCGCCAGAACTTGCCAAATCTCATGAACCTCATCGCGACCGTCTTTGTGTTTGCCGTAGTCATATACTTTCAGGTAAGCACACCTGTGGGGAGGCTAGGTCAAAAGAAGCTGAAATCTCTACAGAATTTTGTCTGGTGCCATTGTCTGAATCACGGAGATAGAATTTTACCATGTTTACCCCAAAATAAGACCCTGTCTTATATATTTTTTCCCACCAAAAAAGGCACCAGGTCTTATTTTGGGGGGATGCCATCCACTGACTAATCTCACTTGCGCGCATCGCCCCTGGCCTCCTTTTTGCTGTTCGAGGCCTTCAGGAACTTCTGTGGCTGGCAAGGCTTTCCTCAAGGCCTCTGAGGCCAATAACAGAGCTCTGGATCGATCCAGAGCTTTGTTCTCAGCTCCAGAGGCCTTCAGGAAAGCCTTGCTGGCTTCAGAAGAAATGGGCCGGCCAGGCAGGTGTTGGGGTGTGCGAGGCCTGTCTACAACTGTCCAAAGCTAAGTAGTAGGGCAGCTCCACCCCCTCTATCCCCACTCTAGCTTAATTTTTACCTGTCCACTCTGGAGTGGGCGGGATCTTAATTAGGACTTATTTTGGGGGTAGGGCTTATATTGGGCACACATGTAAAAATCAAGCTAGGACTTACTTTCAGAATAGGTTGCATTTTTGGGAAAACGGGGTAGCTGGCTGGGGAAAGAGACAAAACACTCCAGATTTCAGATTTATTTATTTTTAATCCTGGCTGCTTCTAATCCTTAACATGAGGAAGGGTTTGATATAAAGTTTGCAGCTTCATTGCGGGATCTTCCGGGCTCCGTCCTCCAGGAGGAGAAATCCACTGGTCTAAAATCCTGAAGACCTTCTCCATTTCTGCAGCTTCGAAACGGAGAGATCCCGCTTGCCAGTTGTGATCCTTTTTTCCTCCCTTTCTTCCCCGCAGGGATTCCGAGTTGATCTCCCGATCAAGTCTGCACGTTACCGGGGTCAATACAGCAGCTACCCCATCAAGCTCTTTTATACCTCCAACATCCCCATTATCCTCCAGTCCGCCTTAGTGTCCAACCTCTATGTCATTTCCCAGATGCTGTCTGTGCGCTTCAGTGGCAACTTCCTGGTCAATTTACTCGGCCAGTGGGCGGTGAGTAGCCAGCTCTTCCTATAAGGCAGACTTCAGCCCTCAGCCTAACGACCACAATCAAGCTCCCCGCCCACTTCTGTCACTTAGCGAGACATCAGTTCAGTAAGTTTTGTGTGGCTTTTCTTGCCACTGTTGTTAAGGGAATCACTGCAGTCACCCAGTGACTCTCATGGTCGTTAAACAAATCAGGATGCCTCCCTTTGAGTTGGTTGAAGGGGATCGTGTGACCCCCGACACAGCAATCATCATAAATATGAGTCAGTTGCCAAGCATTTGAATTTTGATCATGTGACCACATGGATGCTGCAAGTGTGAAAAACGGTCATAAGTCACTTTCAGTGCTGTCGTAACTTTGAACAGCCACTAAATGAACTATTGTAAGTCGACTTACAGCTGTTCGTTTAGTGACTGTTCAAAGTTATGATGACACTGAAAGAGGAGGCTTCCATGACTGTTTTTCACACCTACGATCATTGAAGTATCCTCATGGTCGTCGTACTCAAATTCCGTCCTAGGACAACAGACTCGACGGTCCCAGATCCCCTTTTGCGATCTTTCTGACCAGCAAACTCAACGGTGGGGGAAGACAGATTGGCTTAATGACTGCACAATTCCGGTAACACAGGTGGCAAAAAGGCTTGCAAAACGGGGCAAAAACTCAACACGTCAACATAGGGCTCCATTGCGGTCGTAAGTCAAGGACTGTATGCTCTTTGCGGTCTGCAGAGGGGTGTGTGTGTGTGTGATGACTCAGGGAGTGGCACAAAGGCAACACAAGTCAGATAAGCAATAAGAGTCCTTTTATTATCTCCAACTTTGCCCCCAATGCCCAGGTTACCTTCTGGCTGGAGAAAAAATTCTCCCAGGAACAGCCTTTGGCTGCAGAGAATCAAGTCCGAAACATGGTAAACACAAACTGTAACTTAAAATCCAATCAAGGCAAACTGAGGTAATTAGTTTGGCAGGGCAGGAGCAAGAATTTCAGACTTGAAAACAGGCGAAACTCACATGGTTGGGAAGATGCCAGGAAGACAGATAAGCCACAACAATACCAGCAGCCTGCTGCACGCAGCTTCCCTTTTTAAACACTGTATTCCCAGCTGCAGCTAATGAAGGGACTCAGGGCCCTTTCCTCCCCCATAAGTCACACAACCCACATTGCTCTCTTCTCTGTTTCTCCCTGCGTGTCCTAGGATGAAGAGGGGGTGGGCCTGGGTCTTCCTCTGAATGTCCAGCCGGACTTTACCCTTCCCCAGTTTCCTCCATAGCCAACTGAGCCACACTCCCGCTTCCTGTCAGCTGTTCGTCGTCTTCCTTGGATTCAGACTCCGACAGAGGCATGACAGTGTGTGTTTGTGATGTTTTCCACACTCTCCTTCCTTCCTTCCCAGGACGTTAGCGGAGGCGGCCCAGCACGCTCCTATCCGGTGGGGGGTCTCTGCTATTACCTCTCCCCCCCGGAATCCATGGGGGCCATCTTTGAGGATCCGGTCCACGTGATCGTGTACATTATATTTATGCTGGGCTCTTGTGCCTTTTTCTCCAAGACATGGATCGAAGTGTCTGGATCTTCTGCCAAAGACGTAGGTGGATTTCTCTCTCTCTCTCTCCCTCCTCCTACGCCCCACCCCCACTCCACGGCACCTGCTCCCCGGGTTCTCCCTCGAGGAAGCCACACCTGGCATCCTCCCTTCTGACACCTGGGTATTTCTGCAGGTCGCCAAGCAGCTGAAAGAGCAGCAGATGGTAATGAGAGGGCACCGAGACACATCCATGGTTCACGAATTAAACCGGTAAGGAGACCCCCAAATAGGTCATCTAGAGGAGGGGTCCTTGGTCCGCCCTCTGAGCTAGGTGGTTTTCTTGCAGATGTTTTATTACCCAACTAGGCAACAACATCAGTGCTAGTGATAAAACGTCTGCAAGAAAGCAAACCAGCTGAGAGAATACCAAGGACCCCATAGACGACGACGACTTCTTCTTCTTCTCCTCCTCCTCCTCCTCCTCCTCCTCCTCCTCCTCCTCCTCCTCCTCGCAAACCCCACTCCCTTCTAGCACTGATGATGTTATCTAGTTGAGTAATTAAATGTCTGCAAGAAAACAACCAAGCACAGAGAGCATCAAGGACCCCATAGTCTTTTTCCTCCACCTCCTCCTCCTCTCCCTTCTAGCACTGATGATGTTACCTAGTTTGATAATTAAATGTCTGCAAGAAAACCAGTAACCTCGGGGGGAGGCCCTAAGGAACCCACCATCCTTCCCCTGCCCCTCCTCCTCGCTTAGCCACAGAAATTTGGGGCTCAATTGTGGTCGTAAGTCAAGGGCAAGCCTTAAAGGCGGTTATAAAAAGATAAATAAAACAACTTTAGGAAATGTGGAACTTTCAGGCACATGTGGCGACAATGCAACTTGCTTGACTAACCTAGATTTCACTCTCCCTGCCGAACGAAACGTCAGGAACTGCAGGCACAACGACTGAAAAGGGAGCAGATTTGAATTAAAAGGCGTTTCGTTCCTCTTTTCCATTTAGGTACATCCCGACAGCAGCTGCCTTCGGAGGCTTGTGTATCGGGGCGCTTTCGGTCCTGGCTGATTTCCTGGGCGCCATCGGCTCCGGCACTGGGATTCTGCTGGCAGTCACAATCATTTATCAATATTTTGAGATCTTTGTCAAAGAACAGGCCGAAGTTGGAGGCGTGGGGGCTTTGTTTTTCTAAACAGGCCAGCATTCTCCTGGCTTGTGACAAAAGGAGGGAAACGTCCTTTGACCTCATCTGAATTCAATAATGCCATTTTAATTTATTTATTTTTGTTCCCCCTTCTTTTCAAAATGAGTCACCCCATTTGTTCATCAATGGGCTTGTGCACAGCTTCAGAGCTGGCTGCCTTAAAAGAATCAACGTTTACATTGTCTTGGTTTAAAGATATATACTAATAATAATCCAAACATATTTCTTTCTCTCTCTCTCTCTCTCTCTCTCTCTCTCTCTCTCTCTCTCTCTCTCTCCTCCCTCTCTCCCTTTCTCTCTCGTGGCCTGTAATGTTGGAAAACAACCCGAGGGAAGAATGGTGGGTGGCCATTGCATTGCACATGTGCACACTCAGTGGGCGTGCAAATCAATCTATACCTGTCTTGTTGCCCATTGCAAAGAGTTCCGGCTTGTTCCAAACGGCTTAGAGCTTGTTTAAAAAAAAAAAAAAAAGATTCCTTTTCCTTCCTTGAAATCTATATTTTATCACAAATTGCTTTTATACACACACACACACACACACACACATTCAAAGGAAAAATACAACCCACCCACCCCTCCCTTGCAATTGAAGCCCCTCTTTGGAGCAGACATCTCAACCCACCCAACCTGATTCTGAAATTGACGCCGAGGGTGGGAGATTGTGTCGACGTTGTGAGCCTGGGCCTTTCTGACTGGGGGTCAAGGAGGGAAGAGAGACCCTAAGTTGCTTGAAACGTCACCCTGGTGTCTCTTTGTTCCAAAGTCAATTAAAACAAAAACCAACCCACAGCTGAGAAAAGTTGTTGGTCTTTGAGGGGCTTGTGTTGACCAGACACCGAGCCTTTGTCGTGCTTCTTAGCAGCATCGTAGCCGGTGTAAAAACATCAGACATTAAAAGTTATTTAATTAAAAGCTCATCCTTGCTGTTTTTTCTTCTTCTTCATAAGACGGCTTCTCTGTAACTCCTTGAAGTAAAAAAGGGGTGTGTACACAGAGTCCTTGACTTAACGGCTCATTTTAAGTGACCAAAGTTACAATGGCACTGGAAAAAGAAAGTGACTCACAATTGGTTTTTACGTGCTGTCTTAACATCTGCAGTCAACGGGATCAGAATGTGGAGGCTTGACAACTGACTCATATTTACAATGGTTACAATGTCCCAGAGGGGCTCACATGTTCTCCTTTTGCGACCTGACAAAATCAATGGCACCAGATTTGCTTAACAACCGTGTAATTAACTGCAGTGATTCACTTAACTGGCAAAAAAGGTCATAAAACGAGATTGAAATCAACTTTCTCGCTTAGCAACAGAAATGTTGGGCTCCATTGTGGTTGTAAGTAGAAGATTACCTGTCCACAGGGCCCGTCCTCCCAGTTTTCCTCCTCACAGCAATCCTGTGGTGTAGGCCAGGCTGGGAAAGGGACTCTCCAAGGCCTCCAGAGATCTTCCACAGCTGAAGAAGAACCACGGTCTCCTCAGCCTTAGAGACCAACCAACCCATCACCCACCACACCAGGGTTTCTCCAAATTGGCAACTTAGAAGACTTGTTGGACTACAACTCCCAGAATTCCTTGCTAGGGGCAGGGAGAAGATTACGGGCAGCCTCAGGTGACCGGTGGCTCTCGAGCTCTAGAAGTTCTGCCTGTTGGTCCACCAACCATTTACAAGCAAGGCAAGGAAGATGGGAACTCTTCCCGAGACAAGCACGGATGAAGTCCCAAGAGCTTCCCTTTTGATGATAAAAGAGTTGGCCAAGCCCAAGGCAAGTCAAGACCCAACCCACAGTCTTGGCTGCTAACTAGGTAAAAGTACAGGTTCCCCTCGCACATCCGTGCTAGTTGTTTCTGGCTCTAGGGTGTGGTGTTCATCTCTGTTACAAAGCCGAAGAGCCAGCATTGTCCGAAGCTGTCTTCGTGGTCATGTGGCCGGCAGGACTAAACACCAAAGGCGCACGGAACGCTGTTCCCTTCCCACCAAAGTGGTCCCTATTTTTCTACTTGCATTTTTGACATGCTTTTGAACTGCTAGGTTGGCAGAAGCTGGGACAAGTAATGGGAGCTCACTCCATTATGCGGTGCTAGGGATTCGAACCCCCGAACTGATCGACAAGCTCAGCGTCTTAGCCAGTGAGCCACTGGCTGCCAACTACTCAATGCAACAACCCAGCAGTTCAAGAACTATATAGACCGGAAAACAGCAATACAACTCTTTTATTGTTCCACCGACGATTCCAGTGAACTTGAATTAAAAATATTTTGTGTGTGTGTGTGCGCAGGAAACAGCTCAGCTGCATTATTCGAAGGCAAATTCTCGGTCTTGGGAGTTCTAGGACAGGGAGTTCTAGAACTTCATGAAGGGCACCTGGAAGGGCTGGTCCGAAGCGTGCCTCAGGGCCAGTGCGTAAGCGTACAGCTTGGCATCCACGATCAGGTGCTCCTCGGCCACCAGCTCTGCAGAAAAAACACAAGGACACACACTAGACTCTTTCATCCCTCTGCTGCGGCTCCGTCACAACTGCCAGTCTGTGTGACACCCGCCAGCATGCGTTTTATTGAGCTTTTTGACTCCCAGTAGGCCAACCATGGGTAAATCCAAGAAAAGTTTCAGAAGAAAATAGAATGTTTAATTCAACTACATAGTTTTGTGGCTGCTCAGGAAATAGTCAGGAATGACATGTATCAGAGTCGGCTTACACCCAGGCAGCACCGTCATGTTTACTCCTAATAAATCTTCTTTAAGTTTTGGAATTTCGGCTAGAGACTCATGATTTAAATGGGAGTAACTGCCAGCAGGTTTTGTGGCTCCTGGTGTTTTCTGTGGGAGACGTCTCCAAATGGCTCTTTTGAGTGTTGCCAGCCCCCGCATGAGACAAAAGACATCCAAGAGCTGCCTTCCATTCCGAAGGCCACGGAGGGCAGTTTCCCATAATAACAGGTGGTCCCTGACTTTACAATAGTTTCACTCAGTGCCGTTGTAAAATGGAACGGTCCCTAAAGGAAGGGTTGTAAGTGAAGAGCCACCTGTACCAGAAGCAGTTAGAAAACTGGTCTGAAAGCCATTTGCCAAAAGTTGGACAAAGAGAGTTTCATTCAAACCAAAACGGCGGTGCTTCAGATTTGGTTTCGTTCCCGTTTAGGGAGAGGTGGGCCCTATAATCCTGGCAAAACCGTGAGTTTAATCTAGAAATGACTTGACTGGATAATGTAACCACCGCTGAAAAGGAGGCTCTTGGGGGGAGTCCATCTGTGCAACCCACTCTTTAATTTAAGCATTATTGCAGTAATAAAAATGATGTTATAATCATGCTTTAGGGCTAGAAAAGAAATTGGGCAGAATGGAGCCAACCCCGATAAATTGCCTTTTCCATCGAGTTACTATCCAAATTATTGCTCAAATCTAGCAAAAGCACTTAGACTTATCTATTGCTTCATGGTGCTTTTCCAGCCCTCTCTGAGCAGTTTACAGAGTCAGCCTGTTGCTCCCCAACAATCTGGGGTCCTCATTTTACCCACCTCGGACAGCCGAGTTGACCATGAGCCAGTCAGGATCAAGCTGCTGAATTAGCCTGCAATACTGCATTGTAGCACTGTGCCACCAGGAAGGAGAATGAGAAAGAGAGTAAGGATGGATGGAAGGAAGGAAATGGAACGTAAGGGAGGGAAGAAAGGATTAAAGGCAAGGAAAGAAGGAAGGAAATGGAAAATGAGGGAGAGAAGGAAGGATTAAAGGCAAGGGGAAGGAAAGAAGGAAGGAAATGGAAAATGAGGGAGGGAAGGAATAAAGGCAAGGGGAAGAAGAAGGAAGGAAATGGAAAATGAGGGAGAGAAGGAAAGAAGGAAGTGAAAAATGAGGGAGGGAAGGAAAGAAGGAAGTGGGAAATGAGGGAAGGAAGGAAGGAAATGGAAATTTTTGTTTATTTATTTATTTGATTTGTCAATCGCTTACAAGATAATAGGTATAAGTATATACATAGTTATGAATACATGAAATGAGGGAGGGAAGGAAAGATTGAAGGGAAGGGGAAGGAAAGGAAATGGAAAATGAGGGAAGGAGGGATTAAAGGGGAGGGAAGGAAGGAAACAGAAAATGAGGAAGGGAAGGAAAGATTGAAGGGAAGGGAAATGAAGGAAGGAAGAAAACAGCATAACAGCGTGACAATAACAAAGTTGGAAGGGATCTTGGAGGTCGTCTAGTCCAACCCACTATTCCAGCAGGAGACCCCATAGCATTTCAGACATCTCTCCAGGCTGACCCTCGCAAGGAAGCTCCAGTTCTCCATCTCAAACTTTCCATACTTCCTTACCTTCAATTCTCTGCATTAAATCGTTCTTTGGCAGCGTAACAACTTCCACAAACTCTGAAAAGAGGGAAAAACAAACAAACCACGGATGTTACAGAGTTGGCACCATCATCCATCAGTTTTCATTCTTATTTATTATTATAAAATGTCACTTTCACCCATTTTAGCCTCGAGAAGGACGCCAAATGCCCTCACTTCCGGTCGCCCTTTATGAATAAATGAGAATATCTATAGCTTGGGGTGGAACGGGGGACGTCCTTCCTGCGCTCTGAGCTGGGTGGTTTTCCTGCAAAGCTTTCATTACCAAGGCAAAGAGATCTGCAGGAATCTGGATCCCGCCCCCAAACCAGAAAGAACCAGGTTTCTAAGTCGGAAACAATTTTATTCTATTCCCCTGATCCCTGTATACAGGTAGTCCTTAACTTATGACTACAATTGAGTCCAACATTTCTGTTGCTAAGCAAGGCAGCGGTTAGCTTTGCCCTGTTGTGCGACCTTTTTTGTCCCCGTTTTTAAGTGAATCCCTGCAGTTGTTAAGTGAATCACACGGTTGTTAAGCGAATGGCTTCCCCATGCACTTTGCTTGTCAGAAGGTCGCAAAAGGGGACCACGTGAACCCGGGACACTGCGCCCATCATAAATATGAGTCAGCTGCCAAGCCTCTGAATTTTGATCACATGACCCTGGGAGGATGCTGCAACAGTCCTAAGTGTGAAAAAGGGCCATAACTTGCTTTTTTCAGTGCTGTTGTGACTTCAGACAGTCACTAAATGAACGTCGTAAGTCAACGACTACCTGTTCATGTCATGCATTATCCACTTACTAATGAAAGACCAATGCACAGGACAACCTCAAAAAATACACAATTTCTTATGGTGAAGGATATCAATGAATGCAAAAGACGAGCAAATTTCAAACCAGACACTGGAACTCTGAAGGAAGTTGAGAAGATTCATCTCAG